ATTATCTACCACTGAAGCGGAATACATTTCAGCCGGTAGTTGTTGTGAACAAGTTTTATGGATGAAACAACAACTTTTTTATTATGGAATTGAAGTAGGTACCATACTTATCAAGTGTGACAATACTAATGCTATTTGTCTCACTAAAAATTCCATCTAACACTCTAGAACTAAGCACATTGAAATTAGACATCATTTCATTAGAGATCATGTCGCTAAAGACGATATAGTTCTAGAATATGTTGATACTTTGTATCAATTAGCGGATATTTTTACAAAACCTTCAGATAAAGAAAGATTTTGGACACTTAGGAGAGAATTAGGTTTAACTAACCTATCTTGACTTAGTGTTTAGCACTTTTAATTTTGATTGAAAAATGCTTATAAAAATAACTCTTTTGATTGCATTCTTTGATATTAGATAGGGGGAGTTTATGATTCCTAGTGAAAATTAATTATATGTTCAAATGAAGTTTAAGGATTTGATTTGATTGATTGAACATAGTTAATTTCAATATATGAGTTGCCAATACCACTAGAGTTAAATAATTTAGCATTTTGAATGCTTAAAATGGATTTTTGACATTTTTATACATAATGCATCGATCCACTAGTTAGTGCATCGATTCACCATGAAGGTGCATCGATGCACTCCTTGAATGTGCATCGATTCACTCTACTGTGTATCAATACACCAGTCGGGTTTTGGGTTTATAATGTTTAGAGAACCTTGACTATTGCGGACTCAATTGAGTTTTGGGATTGATTGAAATTGCATACATGTGTTTTAAATTTGCAGGTTACATATCCCATTCCGATTCAATAAACCATGTCTAATCCTAAACGTCCTAGGTCATCTTCGAGTCACTCTGGTCAAAACCGACCTCCCATTCCTCCTCTACCACAAAATCCAAACCCAAACGAACGTAAATTAACCATCCTTAATTCTTGCTTCAACCAACCCGATCGTCGTCAAGATGAACTATATGATAGGTTCGTTAGTCATTTCTAATCGTACAAAATTCGAGAAGAACGTATCCCTTACATTCAAGCAATAGAGGATATTAACTTCGAGTATCTTCCTATCCTTCGATCTTGGAAATTTTATAAATTGTGTCAAATTAAGCCCATTGTCTATCAACAATTAGTCCGTATTTTCTACTCTAATGCGGTCTGTGTCCAAAATGCACGTAAATCCGAAACTGTAGCCATTAGATCCTACCTTTTAGGACAAACCATTTATATTGGCTCGAACACAATCTATAATGTCTTTGGTTTAGACAATAACAGAATAGATAATGAGAGAGATATTGTGGCAACTCCCTATCAATCTAAGGGTAGTGTTAGTACTTTACGAACTCACCACGAGCGATTCTTTCATTTAATGATCTCTTGGTGGTTTAGACCATCCGAAGGTAGGTACTCCTCCCTTAGGTCATAGATATATGGTGGATACATTGTATCCAACATAATAAGAAAATTAATTTGCAACAAATCAATCTAAGGGTAGTGTTAGTACTTTACGAACTCACCACGAGCGATTCTTTCATTTAATGATCTCTTGGTGGTTTAGACCATCCGAAGGTAGGTACTCCTCCCTTAGGGTCATAGATATATGGTGGATACATTGTATCCAACATAATAAGAAAATTAATTTGCCACAAATTATTTTTAGTGAGCTTGTCGATACCGTAAACGTCATTCCTTCTAAAAATGTAGAAACTTTAGTTTACAGTTGTCTTCTTTCTAATATATTTATCAAACTAGGGATTAAGGTCTTAGATGATATTCCCATCCCTCTTCAGAACCAAATTAATCTCACTTCGTTAAAGAAATCGGGATGGAAGAAGGATAAGGTAATGGGTTTATCGACCCACTGAGCAAAATTTGGGAGCTAGCTCTTCATGAGCTCCACCTCCACCGGCACCGGCAGTAGACGATGATCCGGAGCTTCAACAACTAATGCAAGATATCGAAGATATCAACGATGAAGCACCCGAGGACGCACCGGCACAGCAAAAGGATCAAACGCCTCCATATTTTCGATCATTCTAGAGTCGTTTGATCTGAGGTTTGCATATGTGGAGTCTCATCTCACTGCTATAGAGGCAAGACAACGGGAGATGAACGATCATTTAGATTCGCTCACACTCGATATGTGAGCACTATACCCTCCTCCTCCCGATCCTCCTATGAATTAGACCTTGCCTTGCTCTGCTTTAGTTTGCTTGAATTGAACTTCGGATTAATATTTTGGATTGTTAAAACTTTTGATGTTTTTGGATTGGATGTTTAAATGTTTGAATATTATGGATATTGGATGTTTGAACTTAATATATATATATTAGGTTTGTTTAAATTTTTAATCTTAATGTTTATTTCGTTTTTGCATCTTTTACATATTAGTTGCAATATGACCAATTTACCATTTCACATTGATTATGGATATTGAATATGAAAATAATGGCTAACTTTTCTCTTGATTCTTGATCTTAGTAGCTTAAGGTTTTAAATTTCTAATTATCAATTGGTTGAGTTTTCAAAACACTTGTTTAAAAACGTTTTAGGAGTCTTTTTGATTTAACAAAAAGGGGGAGAAGATATGCTATAGTAAGGGGGAGTAATTTTTCAAAATTGATCTCAAAAATGATTTTCTTAAAAAATCTTAAAATTACACAAATGTTTTGTTATATCAAAAAGGGGGAGATTGTTGAAAACATTTTTGATGTTTCGATATAACAAATTAAGTATAAATGAATTTTAAGATTTTACAAATCATTTTCTAAGTATATTCGAATCAATTTACTCGAATTTTAAAATATTACTCCAAGTCTTTAAAAGATCAATTTCAATCCTTAGTAAAGTGTAAAATTGTGTTTTAATCTTAAAATATTTTTGAAACAATTTTCACAAAGTATTTCGAACCAAAAACGAGCCAAATATCAAATTTTCAAAGTAGTGTACCGATGCACTATCTAATACATCGATGCATCCTTGAATAAATTGATATTTCTAATGCATTTTGTGTACCGATGCACAAGGCATGCATTGATGTACTCCTGAATATTTTGAACATCGAATGCATTTTATGCATCAATGCACAAACCATGCATCGATGCACTCCAGGCTCATTTGAAACATTGAATGTATTTTATGCATCGATGCACCCCTATTGTACCGATGCACTAAGTCTTCCAACGGTCGAAATATTTGAATTTTACACATAGTGTACCGATGCACATTGCCTATACATCGATGCACCATACGGTCCCAACTATTTTATTAATTGTTTTCACACAATAACGGCTCTATTGACTCCACTAATGATCCCCAACATTCAGAAGTGATCCAAGGTGTATTTAAACAAGCTTTGGAAGCCATTGATCAAAAAACAATTAAGAAGAATTGAGAGAGAATAAAAGAGAAAGCATCAAACCCAAAGTTAGAGCATTTTCAAGCCTATTTCATTCAATATTCATCTTTTCTTTCAAGAACACTTATTTTGCTCAATTGTATTATTCTTAAGTGTTCTTTCTTTGTTCTAGATTTGTGCAGACATCTTTCCTTGTGAGGCTTTTCTGTAAGTTTGCAAAATTTGTATTGTTCTCTTTTGGAGAGAGTGTTCTCAAGAATTTGGGGTATAATTCTTGAGGGATTTGTATGGTTACTCTTTGTCCTCAAAAGAAAGACAAATTAGTGAATTTGTGGAAAATCCTTAGTGTGGATAGCTAAGGTAGTGGACGTAGACTTTGGTTGAGAAAGTTGAACCACTCTAAATCGTTGTGCAAATATTTTCATTTTCTGCAAAAGCTTCCACCGAAATTTTTATTGCCAATTCACCCCCTCTTGGCCAATTTCGTCGATCGATTAACTAAACACTTTCATTCAAAAAGATCATTTAAAAAGATATTTATCCATAGTCATTCCTCCTCTGTGTACACCTATTAGGGTGATTACTATCAGACAAAATTGTGGCATGACTTTTTTATGGGTGAGAGCTCACTATATACATGGTTTCAATTCTAGGGAAATGATATTTGAATTGTCCTTGTTGGTTCCCCTGGGCTTTTAGACCTTCGATCCTCACCCATTATACGCTTAAGTGAATTGAGTTTAATTCGAGGAAATACATTTCTTATGTCTAACACGGAGGAATACTCATGAAGAAATAAAAATTAAAAATAATAAAAAAATGTATATTAAGTTATTTATGTATAAATTTTATTAAAAATATATAAATTAGAAATAATAGAAAATTATAATTTTATGAATTTTTATATAAATATTTGAACTTTACTCTTAAATATATATATATATATATATATATATATATATATATATATATATATATATATATCAAAAGATAATATAATAAAATATATATTTATATTATTTTATATTGCTTCAGCTAAACAAGATAATACATTATTTCTAGTAATATGTTAAGTAATATAACATTATAGTAATCTCAATTTTTATAATCTTACACTTTGAATTAAACAACCTTTAAAGAGAATAATATTTTTTTTTGGAATGGTACGATTTTATTAACGAAAAATCATACACAAGGAGACATTAGTACATGCCTCGTTAAAAACTTTCTTAACCTAATGAAGGAAAAGAGTACCCATACTAATTTCGGAAAACAGAGAGTTAAACAACAATTACAAAAGAGAATGAGAAATATTCTCATGCAAAGCCGCAAGAATCCCGCTTGGTGGTTCTCCAAAATAAACAGTTTTTGTGTTGTTCAAAGAGAACACTATTTTTTTTATTACTAAGATAATTCATAAATTTAAACAATAAAAAATTATAATATTATTATTATTAATTTTTTAATGATTCATCACTAAAATAAGAAATGTAGCTGTACTAACTCTTAAAAGAATTTTTTTCACCAAAATAATAAAATAATAGGTCGGTAACTAATATTATAGTTCATTTTTTTTATCGAATAGCTATGAATAAAATCAAACAACATTCCACGAGCCCTAACTCATCCAGTCATCCTAATTCCCTAAACAATTGATGAAACCAATACCTATTTTATATTTGGTGGCGTAAAAACTGAATTAGCCATTTGAAAATTCTACGAATTTGTTTTTCGAGAAATCTCAGGGATGCCTTCGACAATCCCAACGAACCGATCCCCCTCGGAAGACATTTTGGACCCGACGCCGTTTCTGTCATCGACAAGCAGCGCCTCACAGGACGAGTCCTCCTCTCGCCGAACCGTTCGTCGCCAGGGCCTCCGTGACGCGGCTCGGTTCCTGCGCCGTGCCAGCAGCCGGAGGATGATGCGTGAGCCGTCCATGCTGGTTCGAGAAACGGCCGCCGAGCAACTTGAGGAGCGCCAGAGCGATTGGGCGTATTCCAAGCCCATCGTCATCCTCGATATGATCTGGAATTTAGCGTTTGTGGCGGCGGCGATTGGTGTTTTGGTTTTGAGCAGGGACGAGAGGCCGGAGATGCCGCTGAGGTTGTGGATAATTGGGTACGCTTTCCAGTGTTTCTTGCATATGGTTTGCGTTTGTGTGGAGTACAAGCGGCGAAGGAGGCGACAGAACGCGGAGTACAGAACGTTTAATGCGGGGGAGGAAGGGGTTTTGAGTCCAGGATCGAGGGTGCGTTCAGAGCAGTACGTGTCGTTAGCCCAATTGGAAGAGGATGGTGGCAGGTATACAATTATTCGATTCTAAGAACTATATTGGTATTTGATGGTTTAGAGAAGTTAATGATCGTTTTAGATTACCCTTTAGCTCTTTCTTTTTTTGGTTAATTTGTGGAATTAGGATGTATATATTGAGAGGTACATTGACATTTTTTTTTCATTAGCCATTTTGGAAGTTTGATAAATTTTGCTCTAGGCATCATTTAACTTCAACCCATAACATGTTGCCATTAGGTATTTGATGGAGATTGGTATTTTCATTTATTTGTCACTCGGTTAAGTTATACGAACGGATAATTCACCTTGAAGTTTATGCATTTGACTTGTGAAGTGTTTGATAAATTTATTATGCTCTTTGTCATGTCTGTCTGTTTAATAGATTATCTTGGTTATTGGATATATCTAACCTCAACAGTTGTAGGCAGCTTAAATTATATGTGATACAACAGGCCTACAATTAGGGCTAATCAGTTTAAATTGATGTTTGCAGCAGCGTTGCAAAGCATCTGGAATCTGCAAATACAATGTTTTCATTCATCTGGTGGATTGTTGGATTCTATTGGGTATCTATAGGTGGCCATGCAATGGCACGTAGCTCACCTCAGCTTTATTGGTTAGCTATTATCTCGTTCTTTTCTGCTACTTTTTTTTTTAAGGTTTTTTTCCTTGTAACTGTATCACAATTCTTTTAATGCAATTTTCTTTGCAGGCTTTGTATAATTTTTCTCGGTTTTGATGTGTTCTTTGTTGTTTTCTGCGTTGCTCTGGCATGCGTCATTGGCATTGCTGTTTGCTGCTGTCTTCCATGTATTATTGCAATCTTATATGCTGTGGCAGATCAGGTAACTTTCATCCCGCTGCATGTAAGATTATCGTGATTGTAAATGCCTCTGTAATATGCATGTTTGTATTTCATGCTTGAGTATCTAGTTTTCAATAGGATGCTTAATGGAGGTAAACAAGATCGGTACATTTTGAAGTGGACTTATAATCAACTAGATACACGGGGAAGTCCTTGGTTTGAATGTGAGCATTGTACATGAATATTGTTCAACTTAGGTAATTGTATCTCACTTAAAATGAAGTTGATAGAAGTTTGTTTTCAGAAAGTTGATATGATATAATAGTGAGCTTTCAATGTGATGCAAAATTTGAATGTTAAAATTTACTAGATGACCATGCTTTTAATACTTCTAAAGAAAAGTCTGCATTTTGCATTTGTCTGAAAAGATTCATTTAAGCATTTTTATGCAGGTTATAAAGCTCATGGCAGTTAATAGATTTAATAGGAATTTTTTAGGCTTTTTATTCTGTTTTAGCATACCATTCATTTTACTTGTTTCATATGACCACTTGCATCAGGAGGGAGCTTCCAAGGAAGACATTGATCAGTTATCAAAATTCAAATTTCGAAAAATTGTCAATGACGAGAAATCTGCTGCTGATGTCCAAGGATCTGTCGGGGGAATAATGACTGAATGTGGTACAGATTCTCCGTTGGAACGTGTTCTTCCCAAAGATGATGCAGTAAGTTGATCTCATTGTTTTTTTTATGCTGTTTATTTCCCTTTTCCTTCATCCTGTGATTTGCCTTTTTGGAAGTTGGAACCAATATGATGTGAAGCTTAGCTTGTGTTTGTGATAATTCCATTTGCACGAGTCTTTCTAATTTAAGTTTAGTACCCAACTGATATCGATTCCTTGTTAATACTTAGGAATGTTGCATTTGCCTTTCTGCCTATGATGACGGAGTCGAGCTAAGGGAACTTCCTTGCTGTCACCATTTTCACTGTGCCTGTGTAGACAAGTGGTTGTACATCAATGCTACTTGCCCTCTCTGCAAGTATAACATCTTGAAGAGTACAAGCCACGACGAAGTGTAGAAAAACGAGAATAATTATTCATGGTTATATTCGTGACCTCTTCATATGTTTTTAGCTCGAGAGCATCATAATGAACTGCATGTCATATGCAGTTGATGCAGGTTATTCTATTGGTGTTTCTTGTTGTGGTAGTTGTAGATGATGTTGTTTGATCATAAGGCTGTTGGCAGTCATGATGTGCTTGTTTTGGCTCTGACCATCGTGGAGTTGTTGTTTATATTAATGTTTCCGGGGGCATCTAGGCGCCGAGAGGAAGAACTCGGTAGCTATTTTCCGCTTTCATTTTATGCCGGACTCCTTTTTCTTTTTCCTTGTATTTTGTATTTTACATGTGTAAAGTGTTTTATGTCCAACTTTTTTTTTCATGTGAACCATGTGTCTCATGCCAATAGATTTTTCTTCTTTTTGTGGGTTAAAACTCTGTAATCTAAAACCAATTATTAATTGCTAATGTTGCTCTAGAATCAATCATAGATCGTGTAGTATATGTATGCTGGCTCATTTATTGTTTAGAAAATCGCCCATGTATTATGCAGATGATCGATTATGCTGGCTCATTTATTGTTTATAAAAAGTTGGAGCTGAAGAACAAGTTGAATGCGCAGAAGCTACAGATTTTTGTGGTTTAGGGTTGGTTGGACTCCATTCACGGCTAATGGCATTGGATTATTTTAATGATAGAATGGCAAATGAGGGTGAGAACGAAGCCAATGATGATGAACTTGAATTTAGTGATGCTTCATATTTGTGCGTAGGCAAGCACAAAGTGGTGAAACACCTTAAAATGATTGGAGTGAAATGTTGTATATTTCAATTTAAGACAAGTCAAATTCATAGTTGGTGACGATGGCTGGGGTGAAAAAAGTGGAAGATCGTATTCATTATCCAAATGCTCAAATTGGTTGTTTAACAATTTTTGTTTTGTAAAGGCTGCATGAGTTGGCGCTGACATTGCTCTAATAATGTTCGATCAAATGCTTCAGTCGGCATTGAAAAGACCAGCAATGCATTACACCCAACAGTTATCACACGACTTTCTTTCCAGTGCTTTTGAACAAGAATTCGCATTCCATTCTTTTTTAAAATACCATGTTTCGGTTGCGTTTTAAGTATTGTATTATTAATTTTTTTTGGAAAGAAATATCTCATTAAAAACTCCTAGATCCAATAAGGTGAAAAGAGTGTCCAACAAATATTTTAACCAGGTACAATATCATCTAATACAACCGAAGCAATAAGCTCGAGACAAATCGAGTCAAAGAACAACGCTCGCCCAGTACCAAGAGTCCAAGAGGCTTGTTTATGGGCAACCTTCTTACAATTACCAGGTGTAAACGAAACAGTAAAAATTACATTTTGCTGCATAATAAGCTTCCGACAAGTGGAAACCAAGGTGGACAAATCAAGCACGTCACTATTCAACTTGTTAACAACCATGGCCGAATCAAACTCAAAGAGTACTCTTTGCCAATGATTTTCTTGAGCAAACTTCAGACAGACAATGATAGCATGGATCTCCGCAAGTCCCACTTCGAGACAGTTTGGAGTAGATAATGTCATTCCTCCTAGAGGCAAACCAGCATAATCGCGTGCAATAATACCAATGGCAGCGAGCCGACGCTAAGGATCAAAAGCACCATCCACGTTCACCTTGACATGGTTAATATCTAGAGGATGCCATCTGTCGTCCATCACACCATCTGGAATCACCTGTCGCTGTGGAGAAAGATGCAATCATGCGATTACATTATTACGGGTCGAAAGATACTCTTTGTGAAGCATGCGGGTATTGAGAGTAATGAGCCAAGGGGGTTGGGTCTTATCGTCATGTATTTTTACATAGCGACCGTTCCAAATATTTTAAACCAATAATTAGTTGGAATTCTGACCTACAACATCTAATCTTCGATCAATAGATCGGATATAAGTATTGTATTACAAACCTAAGAAGATGGACAAAATGCTAGCGAGCAAGATTGTAATGGGCCCTTTTACAAATAAATAAATATATAATGGGCTTTAGGGGTTTGGACTTCCAATGTTATAAATAATAACATGTTTGGGGTTAGAATAGGGAATATAAGAAAAATATGATATGAATGAAAATGGCTTTTCTTCTTTGCCGCTTCTCTTTTTCTTCTCTGCTGTTCTTACTCTGTTTGATTCTTCTTATTTTCGTTATCTTTTCTGTTTTAGTCTCTTACAAAAATCTTCTGGGTACTTCTTTATTGTAGTTTATACCTTATAGATTTATGTTTTCTTTTGTTCATTTCTATTGATATCGTGAATTCAAGTGTTTGCTTGGTTGCTTTAGCATGATTAGAAGCCGGATTTCCAGATTATACTTCTATTAATGCAGCTCTGAACCTTACTGCGATTTCATTATATCTGCAGCTAGGGGTTCTGTTTTTAAAAAGCTTTTTTTACAATCCTAGGTTGAAAGTAGTACTGGATTGGGTCAGTAACAATCCGATCAAAATGGTAGTATTACCCTCGACAAGGTTGCTTCTGTTGTTTGGGGAATCATTACCCTCTTCTAGGTTTCCTAATGTGTCTAGGAAAGTTTGAGGCCAGATCAGTGTACGATTAGTGAGTCTGGTTAATCCTGATAATGAACCTCTCAGAGATCAGTGCTTTACAGAAGCTTTAAAGAAGAATAAGCCAACAATTGTTGTTGGCACCCCTGGTTGAATTGCAGAGATCAGTGCTGCTGGGAAGCTTCACACTCATAGATGTTTCTTAGTTTTAGATGAAGTTGATGAGCTCCTGTCTTTTAACTTCCTGGAGGATATGCACAGGATATTGGAACACGTGTGCAGGAGATCAGGTGCGGACCCACGTAGCTCAATTGCTTAGTGGGCTGAGCGTCGGACCATGAAGGTGTCGGCTACAGTTCCATATTCTGTTATAAGGGCAGCTAGGAGCTGTGGTCTGACCCACTTCCTGTCCAAGCTAAGAAGGTCATGCCACTTGAATCTGTTGCGCCCTCTGGACCTGTTAATATCTTAAAACCTACATATGGTTCAGACTCAAGTGTGCTGACTCAAGCGGCATTGCAAAGCCTGCCACCTGGTTTGAAACACTACCATTGTGTCACAAAATTACAACACAAGGTTGAAACATTGAAAAGATGTATACAAGCACTTGATGCCAAGTCAGTGATAGCTTTAATGAACCATACGAAGCAGCTAAAGGACGCTGTTTTCAAGCTAGAGGCCCGTGGGATAGTAGCTGCAGAGCTGCATTGGTGATTTTGGCAAGCTTGCAAGATCAACAACTTTGAAAAAGTTCAGGAATGGAGAGGTCAGAATTTTGGTGACAAGTGAACTTTCAGCAAGGGGTTTGGATGTGGCTGAATGTGATCTTGTGGTTAATCTGGACTTGCCTACTGACTCTATCCACTATGCGCACCGAGCTGATCGAACGGGTAGGAATGGTACTGTGGTTACCGTCTGTGAGGAGCTGGAAGTGTTTGTTGTAAAAAAGTTACAGAAGCAGCTCGGAATCCCCATTCCTGCGTGCGAGTTTGCAGATGGCAAACTTAATGTCATCGAAGAAGACTAGACTACGGGGCTCCCAGGTGATACGTGCCCTTCCTTTTCACTACCATATTCGGAACTTTACCCAGGCCTTTTTCCTGCTTCTATTTGCCTTGCTTATAGTATATCAAAGGACTATTTTGCGGCCTAGTGAATATCCTTGCATATATAATATGGAGTGCATGTTAAACCATTTTACATTCGTTCCTTTTTATATATGACAAAATCTTTAGTCCTTGTGGAGCTCTGGAGCTTCTAATCATGGTAGAATTAAGGTTTGAAGAAGTTAAGCAAAACCAACTTCATCAAACTCCCTGTATCTAGTTGTATTGTACACTTGTTGTCATAACCATTTTTTTGGGAAAAGAATTAAATATTATGAATTCAGGGACCAAAATATGACTAACATAAATTTGAGAGGTTGAACAGTAAATACAAACAAACCAAACCCAAGATCGCAAATATTAAACAGTACAGGTACTAAAAGTGAAAATAACCCAAATAATACAAAGGATTGAAATGAACAAACCAAAAACATAAAGGGGCAAATAATAATTAAACCAAATGTCAAAGTGACTAAAATAAAAGATTTACTTTTGCCATGGCCCAAATTCGAGCATCAAAGAAAATATCATAACACATGAAATCAATCACTAATATGAAATAATTACAAACATTGTGGCCAAAGTCAAATATTTACAATAATAACATAACATATAGTAATAGGACTAAAACATAAGTACTAAAAAATAAGTGCTCAAAACTGAATAAAATAGAATTTCATTAAATGCTTCAATATGAGATTACAAAACTTGGGGGACCAAAAAGGCTATTATCCCCTAAATAGAAAACACGGATGGGGTGGGGGCAAAACGACAACGTTTCGATCAGTGTATATAAACCCCAAAACGGGCTTATTTTCCCATTTCCCCTCATTTTCTTTTTGCTTCAGAAACACAAAGAGAGAGGAAAAAAACTCTCTCAACTCTCTCATCGGAGAAGAGGGAGACGCCGCCGGTGACAGAGCTCACGGTGGAGCTCATGACGGTCGGAAAGAGGAAATCATCCCTAGAACATTCCACTCACCTCCCTAAGCTCAAAACCCAAACCTGTTTGGTCTAATTCTTCCTTTTTTTTCTTTTTTTTTAATGTTCTCTGTTTTCCCCTTTTCTTTTTCTTTTTCTTTTCTTTTTTGAACCCCTCCCCGAATCACCTCCTATTTCTCTATTTTCCGAATATATGGTTGCATGTCAATCTCTCTGATTTGTTTGCTGCCAACGAAGAGATAATGTAGTGACAGAGGCTAGATTTCCTCGGGATAACACTTGATTTATTTTTATTTTTTTCTTATTTTTTCTCTGTTTTTCCTTATCGATTTGGTGTTTGATGGATGTATGTTACTGTGGATGATGGGAACGGCTCGGAAAATGTTCGACAGGGGCTCAGGATGTCAATGGAGGTGGCTCACGCGGCTCAGGAGTATGCGATGAGGTACACACATTGGCTGGGAGTTGGAAAGCCAAGCGGCG